CCGTAAGGGAGCTTCTCCGACGTCATTCTCCACCGTAACGATAGTTAGTAAAGGTAAATAAGGCCTAGTGTGGTTCAGACGGAGACAAAAATCGTCCCAACCGACAGTTTGGACTGTTCTGATCCCAATGAGGAAATAGCCCAAGCACGTATGTATAAATTATACCAAGTCAATTAACTCGGTTAATTATACTCTCCGACTATTGTTGTAGATGACCCGGCCGGTCACTTGCAACATCCCCAGGCAAGACTGAATATCAATGAGGCAATTCGGAACTTAACATTTGAACTATATATTTAAAAGTGTACAATTTTTTTTGCCACGGCGTCTCAATGTGTAGACCACAGAACCTTCAAATTCTGAAGAAATTTTGAGGGGATTAGATTTGCGATATATGTAAGCATCACTTTTTTTTCCAGTCACATGTTAATTATATATCTATAATCCGTTCTGAAGACACATTTTCTACCATGTACCAATTGTAGTTCTTATATTACTTTTACCATATTATACCAACTTACAGTTCGTATCTATAGATCTGTATGATAGATTGTTTACTAACTGACTTAAGTTTGCTCCTCATTACAGTCAGTGACCATGTTACTCATCATTAGTACCAGTTGTCTAAACCTGTGGGTCTGACGTCTGCCACTGCAGTTGTTCTCAATACTAACAGATGGCGTGCATGTACTTCGCCATTCCCCCTTTTAGAAATATGGGGAAAACTTATGAAATACTCACGAGGCCCAGAGTTCATTGGGATGTATTTATTATTCCTTAAGACGGCTTACTCTGCACAAACAAGTGGCACATCTGAGAGCAAAGAAAAACAAGAAATCTGAGATTTTAAACCTCCAGGAAGTATATGACACAAGATGATTAGCCTCCTTCGCAGTCTTGTTGGGCGTCGGCGTAGTCTAAGATGATCATAACGACTGCTTAAAATTTTGGATATCACATTAACATTAATGTAACGCTACAAGGGAAAGCTGGGCGATGTCACACTCATAATTCACAATACAGGATAACAGACACACAAACACACACACACACACACACACAAAGTTTTTTTCACCGTACTTTCTTGTTTAGTTTTTTTTTCTCCAATGTATGTGTTGACTACATGCCCTACCCTCAAAGTTATTAACTTCTATTGAAGCTTGGCTGATTGTATACTGCCTTGTCACCGTAGTATCTGCTTCTAGAGCAAAGGATAGTGATGAGGTCAATACTTTTTATACATAAGAATCAGAAAAATGTAAGACAAAGTTGTCAAAAGTCATCTACCAGAGTTTTAGACCACCAAAACCACACATTAGTAGGATACTCTCTTACGTTAAGTGTCCAAACATATCTGGAACAACAGGTATACATGGAGGCTAAGTGATGATTACAGAGTTCACTTGGTGCAGACGACACAGGTGAGTTCCCTCCCTTCCACGTAGTTGGGACACGGCAGGGACCCACAACGGGCTTCCACGGGGTAGAACAGCGCTCCGTTATGGTCCGCGTGTCCTCCCTGTATGGCCTCAGGCTGTTCATCCACACAGACGTACTCTTTGGGACTGTTGTGGTTGTAGTATTGAGCCATGAGGTAGCCATGGTACTCGCGGGTCCAGCCGCTATAACAGGTGTTACGGGCGGGGATAATTAACTTACTGCCGCGGGTTGGGACGTAGCAGACCGCACACGGGACGTCGTCATCGAGAAGGGAGGTGGAGCCGAACGGGACGTTTGTGTCCAACTCGTACTCAGCGCCGTACATGAAAGCCTTGTACCCCTGGACTCCATCTTGGTACCGTCCCCACTGTGGGTCGGTCGGCAGACACTGGTAGTTGGTCCCGCCGCCTGGTTGGTTGTGCTGTGTGCCTCCAGCCACACCTGAATGGAAACGCACTGATCAAACAATCATCACCCTTGTCTGTATACAAAAAATACAGCACAGTATTATCGAAAGAAAATAATCGAGCCTACATTTTGTACATATATTTTCGTAGATAACCATCATAATGAATGGGGCTGTCCTCTCTGGTCGCGTCTGTAAATATGTATACATATATGAAGTACATAACGTTGTACTTGAACCTATTTATTACAATATCGTAATGATATTTTTTTCTCCCTAAATGCTCTGATGATATTTGTACATATCAATCCTTATTACTATTATGGTATGATAAAGCACCTCAAGCGGGAGGATCTAAGATAAGGTCTAAGGTATAATAGAAATAGCCTGAATTGGGTTGATGTGTACAAAAATAATATATCAGAGCATTAAGGGAGGAAAAATATCATTACAGAATCGTTCTGTAATCTGTACAATGTAGTTTAAAATCCCCTTATAGTAAAAAATCAACGAATACACATTGATAAATATGGAACATTTTAGAAATTAAAATTTCTGCACAGCCAAAATTCTTTTACACCTATTATTGCCTCTCGGTTCGGTTGAGTGGAGCATTAAAGCCGGCTGCTAGCCGTGGTCGGTATGCTTCATCCTCTGATGCTTGGAGGCACTGTTGACATGAATATGTAGTGCACATTCTACTTAAAATGCAGTTTTCCTGGGATATAGAACATGTAATCTCGAGCCCCATAGTATATTCTCTGTCGAAATATGAATGAGAAGACCTTACCAGAGTAGACAATTGTTGCTCCAGAGGGACAAGTCTTCCTGCCCCAGCGGACATAAACAGCGCCACCTGTTAAGCATAACAATTAGGTAAGTGATAATGAAGTTCTCTACCATTTTATTGCCAAAATCAAATAAAGATCATATTGACAGTGGAGTATACCACATCTATTGATGTGTTTATAGCACGGTGGTACGTATATATTGTAACTATAACATCCTTGAACAGATCTAAGCGCACAACATACTCACCTAATCCGTTTGTCCCTTGTGCGCCTTTCTGACCTTTGGCCCCTTGATGACCTTGCAGTCCAGTGTCTCCTTTCTGTCCAGACTCACCCTGTAAAAATCAGATCAAACATAATCACATTTAATGGTCAACTATTGACAACGCATTGCGCCATCAAATGAAGTTCAAGTTTCATTTTGGACACTTATTTATTCATTTATAATTATATCTTATAAATTAGTCAGCAATTACTTCATCTTTCGAAAGGGAAGGATGTCTACTATACCGTATAGTACACGTACTACCACATGTGTACTATTTATTCATGTAAAGAAGAAATTTCAAGAAAGTCGTCTTTTTCTTATAGACGAATAAAACACATCAGTAATCTCAAGACAGACAAGTTTGATTTTAACAACAATTTGAAACAAATCAGTGATGACTCCGGGACGTTTCAGCGCACCTTCAGCCCGGGTGCTCCCGCCATTCCGTCCCGTCCGTCCCGACCGTCCCGTCCCGGCTGGTTCTGACAGCAACCTGTCAAAGAGCGGAATTAGAAAGTGGCCTAATTCAATCTTAGATCTAATAGATCTAGAAGATACACGGTTAGGCAACATAATCTATGTTTTGGCAAGTATAAACTTAAAATCTGTACATTGAAACGTGTATGTGGATTTTATTACCTTACTAAAGGAAATGGTGGATAGCTGCGTGCTTTGAATTGCTACTGATGAGATAATTTAGGCAATAGTGCACATTATAAGAGTACAATTCTTTTCTGAATTAAGATCGGAATTGTTCTACAGATCAATTATTAGTTGATGTGTAGAAACCCAGGCACATTCTTAAGGACAGACTGAGAGAGAACAGAGTAGATTCTCCAAGCAGATCTTTTGGTGGCGAAATTGTAACTGTCTGGCAAATGGCCAATTTGATTCTGTCTAACGACTCTTTGCGCAGCCACCAATTAAAAAGGAAAGATTTGCTTGGAGATGAAACGGAGTACGCCTGAAAATAAATGTACTGTACCTGACCCAGACGGGAGTCGGACCCAGTTGGGCGAATCTCTCTTGGAGCGCCTGTGCGCAAGTCCTCCCACCGTGGCGTTGTTGTTCTGTCCCCCGGTGTCAGCCTCACCGACGTGCCCAGACTGTCCTCCCTCAGGGCTCTGCACAGAACCGGTCCAGTAGGAAGGAATACCACAAGTTAGTACGTCATGTTTACCGCTGTACTAGCTGAGGTTTAGTGGACAAATTATTGGAAAACAAAACGAATTCGCGAAAACGCAAGCTACGTTGGCAAAAAAGGCATTGAAGAATCTTTGAACGTGGTAGTAGAACTGATTGGAATGACAAGAACTGTGGTAGGAATACTGTCAGTATAAAAGATACAAAGGTCGTGTCGTAACTGTATATTATATATGCCTATAGCACTATCTCTCATTGCGGTAAATGTGACTACTTACATGGGACATTTGTTGTTGTTCGGCGTAGTTTGGTGGGAAAGTCGCGCCTCGGACCTGTGTTTCCAGCACGACGATCCTCTCCCTCAGAGACAGGACCTCCTCTTGGTCTTTCTCGGCCCGAGCTTGGAGTTTGGCCATGTCGTCGTGGTCTCTCTGAGCCTGGGCTTGGAGCTTGATTATCTCTGCGTCGCTTTTCTCGGCCTTTGTCGTGAGGGTGACCACCTTTTCTTGCAGCTTAGCCATCTCGTCGTGGTCTTTCTGCCCCTGGGTTTGTAGTTTACCAATCTCGTCGTGGTCTTTCTGTGCCTGGCCGGGCTTGGAGCTTGATTATCTCTGCGTCGCTTTTCTCGGCCTTTTCTTGCAGTTTAGCCATGTCGTCGTGGTCTTTCTGAGCCTGGGCTTGCAGTTTAGCCATATCGTCGTGGTCTCTCTGAGCCTGGACTTGTAGTTTAGCCATCTCGTCGTGGTCCCTCTCCACCTTGGCCCGGAGATTCCCCATCTCATGCCCGATGTTCTGCACGATCACGGCCAGCACCACGGCGGAAACAAACACCGCGGCGGCGCCGAGAACACCGACGAGCGATCCGAGCGGGCCGCCCGTGCGTTCCCGGCGGGTGCTTCTCTCCGGCATGAGGTGACCGTAAGGGAGCTTCTCCGACGTCATTCTCCACCGTAACGATAGTTAGTAAAGGTAAATAAGGCCTAGTGTGGTTTCAGACGGAAACAAAATCGTCCCAACCGACAGTTTGGACGGTTCTGATCCCAATGAGGAAATAGCCCAAGCACGTATGTATAAATTATACCAAGTCAATTAACTCGGTTAATTATACTCTCCGACTATTGTTGTAGATGACCCGGCCGGTCACTTGCAACATCCCCAGGCAAGACTGAATACCAATGAGGCGATTTGGGACTCACATGATATAACATTTGAACTATGTTATTTAAAAATGCAGTCATCTGTGCAAGGTCGTCTAAAATGTACTTACCACAGAAGCTTCAAATTCTGTAGAAGAAATCCTTTTTTATGGTTAGATTTGCGCTGTAAGCATATCACTTTTATTTCCCGGTCGCATAATCATTATTTGTAAGCATTCAGGTCCAAATTAACATAATTTGATTTTCGACGTCAACCTGAGACATCTTGTACCAGTTGTGGTTCTAATGTTACTTTGTGTATATATTATACCAACTTTTTAGTTCATATCTAGATCTGTCTGATAGATGCACTTGTTTACTAACTGGCTTAAGTTTGCTCCCCACTACGGTCAGTGACCATTATTATTACACATCACTGGTCTGAAGTCTGTGGGTCTGACGTCTGCCCCTGCAGTTGTTTTCAATACTGCCAGATGGCGTGCATGTACGGCACGAACGTCGCCGCACTTTGACCCCGCCTGGTAGCCTCTGAGAGAGGACTTACTGCATCGGTATCTTCCTGTTGCTGTCAAAGAAAACAACTAAACCAGGGGTAAAATGGACGTGGGAGCGTCTCTGTTCCTGCTCGGTTCGTCTGCCGTTGCCGTGTGGTTCATCTTCGTGCGCAGAGTCACCGGCGGGCCGACGAAATTCCAGCGCCGGAAGACGGGAAAGGCCGACCCGGCAGCCGGGTACGGTCTCAAACCTGCAGTAAGAAAACACTAAATTCATTTATAGTATCACGTATCATACCTGTCATGTTTTAGAGAATATATAGGGGTGTAAAGTTGCTTTCGTAAACGACTACTAGTATGTTCGGGGGCACGTTAGCAGGTACAATTTTGTATACACCCCGCCCATGACATCAAGGACGTTGATATAACAAATGTTGATGTTTTATGGTTGTTTCTGTGAAATTCGTAATACATGTACCTTACTAGAGTTATACTGCATTCTAACTTACCACTGAAATCGTACTGATTTTGAATTAAAAAAAACAAAGTTCTTAAATCAGAATTTCTTATCATTTATTGTGTCATGATAACTTCATTTTTTAATGACATTTTTATTTTAATTTCCAGAAATTACCTCCTGTGACGGGATTCCCTCTCAAGATTCTCACAACTCTGATCAACTCAGTGAGTTACTCAGCAAAACTCCATTGAAAATAATTTGCTTTTTATTTTTTACTGACTGTGCAAAATCTGATGTCTGAAAGCTAAGTGCAAGTAAGGGTCAAAGAGTTAGTAAAGAAATAGAGAACATACAAGTACTGTCTGATCAACTCATTATGGGTTCACCACACCACGAAGTGGTGGTGAACCCATATTGCTTTTTCTGATGTTTCTTCTCCTCCTCCTCCTCCTCCTCCTCCTTCTCCTCCTGCCATTTTTTAAATGGATTCAGCTTCTTCATTTTAGGGCCTAAGGTCCTGAAATTTGGTATGGAGGTACAGTGGGCAAATACCCCTAGGCGTTTTTTAAATTTTTGTGATACAGGCTTTTAGAATGGTTTTATTTGAGTTTTTTGGCTGTGTTATAGCAAATGTATTACTGTGTTAGTGTGCCGTGTTTACCACGTCTGGGCATGAGTCATCACAATGGAATGCAGGGCATCAACCAATAGGCATGCAGCTTTCCTCCATACTTCTTGCTGATTGGCTGTTGGGATTTAACTTGATTAACACCTGCACAGAGCATTTCCATACTGACATGCAGTATGTCTTTATTCAAGTGTTTTGGTAGGTATTTCAAGCTTTTCTGCTCCAGCATTGGAATGCGGGGCATGAACGTTTTTTTATTTATTTTGAAAATCAACAGTTTGCATTATGCAATTAAAAATCCTAACCAATAAAGTAGGGAATAGCTATCCAACTGTTGTTTTAGTTGTATGTTACTTCATATTATAGTTATATCAATGTAAATCATTGTTTTCCCTTGTGTTTCTCATTCTTTCCCTGCCATGTCGTAAAATGTGGTGAACCCATCGCTGTATTTGCTCCAAAGCAAATATTGGCCTTTCTAGTATTTCTACTAAGTTGCAATTGTGGAGTTGATGATGATGATAATAGCAATTTATTAGTGCTGTTCAAGTCATCTTTAAACAACCAGTGGAGACAGTGGCCCCAAAAGAGAACTTACATGATACGTTCTACTGTGGCAAAGTAGTAATTGTTTGTTTATCTATCCATCAAGAGACAATGAAACGTTGTGTATAACTTATCATTCGATTTGTAACAGGGCTCCTTGCACTGGCTCAGTCAAAAAAAGTTAATGTTTTTGAGCGAGCGAGTGTTTAGGTGCCTCGTTACAATCCTTTCACCCCTTCCTTCTTCATCAAAACATCATGTCATAGTTTTGTTTTTGTCTTTTTTTTCTTTCTTCAGGTCTTTGGGACAAAAATTCTCATTCCCCATGCAT